TACTAGCCCGGGTCCACAGAAATATAAACAAACATGTTTTCAACTTATTTCAAAACATTTATACTTTCAAAATGCTAAAGAGTGAATTTCAGCCTAAACGAGAGACCACAGAACTTCCATCCATCTTAAAATTTGATTTTTAATCCTAACATGCTGAACCATTCGTAAAATTCATGGTTTGTAGAGTGAAATTTCACTCCCTTTTAGTATCCCAATTCATTGGAGTGAGCCATATTGGTATTCTTCTTTTTTTTCTTTCATTCGTTTACCATTAAAGTAATTTATTATTTATTTCAGGAATCATATGACTATAATAAACAAGTATAATGAAGTGTTTTCTCCTAAGCTTTATTGCTAATAAATTGGTGTAATAATGATAATAATAATAATAATAATAATAATAATAATAATAATAATAATAATAATAATAATAATAATAATAATAATAATAATAACAACAATAGCAAACAATCATATCTTTGGAAATGTAAGTGATATCGATATACGGCATAAATCGTATCAATGCGATATTTTAACGATTATTTAAATTTAAATTTTGATGTTATTAGTCTTCTATTTAAGTTATTTTGAATCTAAAGAAAATAATGTTTTTATAATAATTAACGTAATTAATCATTAAAGAATTATACAATTATTAAAGAAAATGTCGTAACTTCATTGTAAAAATAGTAATGGCAGTAGGTCTATGCTGTATATCTGTCAGCGCCGATGCCGTTCACGTCTCGGCCTGATCAGCCACAGCAGAAAGCACATCAGTCTGCAGCACTAAAGTCTTTATCCAAAGCTTTTAATAATAATTATAATAGTGGTGTTAATGATGTTAATAATATTAATAATGTTGAAAATAATAATAATAATAATAATAATAGTAATAACAATAATAATAATATTAATAGTGATAATAATAATAATAATAATAACAATAATAATAATAATAATAACAATTATAATATTAATTAAATAATTTATTAAAATGTTAAAAAATTCAGAGAGAAAGGAGATCTGTCGGATTCGACGGCTCAGTCTATCAATGATGCATATGAGACATGCTTTATACGAGACAGATGGCCTGATAGTAGTATATAGACATAAGAATAAAGAGAAAAGTAAAATTTCAGAATACGAACGTGCGTACCATAAGCTTATAATATAAATACAGGTCTCCCTCTCATTAAAGACCCTCCAATTAAAGACCACTTTACTGTGGTCTCAAATTAACAAATGTTTTTATTTTTATTATTCTAATTAGAGACAAAAGCTGATAAAAACCATGAAAACCCAGGTCCCAATAAGATTCTTTAATTGGAGAGAGACCTGTAGTGGATTTTTGTAATTAGCTACATTATTAATTTATTTTATTTCTCTATATTTAAAACTACTACAAAAAATTGTTCTTTTTACTAATTACCTGAAGAATTCGTTTCATGGACTAATACTCTAGTATTCTATAAATGAAATTAAGCAGTTTTTATTGATGATAAAATTCCTAGTTTTTAAAGCGATTTGGACACCCCACTGGAAGACAGGAATGTTAAAAACCAAGTTATCGAATAATATTGCGACTAAACTGGAAGTTCGAAGCCCAAAGTTTAAATCATGCACGTTTAGTAGGAATATTCTAGAGAGGCGATATGGACTTAAACACAACTTAAAATGATATACCGACTCGGAGACTGTTGCTCTATACAAACTTGATTTTTCCCATCCTGAAAAAAAACCACTTTATACTGTAGTCATATTAAGATTTGGATATAAGGAATATCGTTTTGTAGCTCTTAGTTTTATATATCATACTTTACTACCTAGTTATTAAAATGTTCAGGTCTATGAAATTTTGTTTACAATTCAGAATAAAAATAGTAGTTTTTGTTTTTTATCAATCCGCTAGATTATGTTTGTAATTTATATATTTTTCTATTGGGGCCTACTTTTCAATTTAAAAAAAATAATTGTGAATAATTGTAAATACTGTGGGTTCGGTTAAGATAGTTATTTCACAGATAAGTTGAAAGTTGCACAGTAAAATGTAAGTTGTTATTATTATATTGCTATTTCACAGATAAGTTAACAATGGCACAAGAAATTTGATTTTGTTAATATTACTGTATTAAGTTATGTTAATATGTTATGACATGCGTCAGAATACTTTTTATATATTTAAAATATTTTTCGAAATGTTTTATCTGTAATCAAATTTCATTGTAGGCCTAGGCATTTGTCTTTTTTGTGAAAGAGATCCCACTCGACAGTTGACTGTTAGGGTGATCCTATCTCATGTTTTCTGTTTGTTCTTTGCCGTACCTATTAATGTTCTGGCGACAAATAAATGAAAAATATAACGTGGGAACACGCATGTTACACATTGAGATAGAACACTCCTCGTGACGATTAGAAGAATAACACATGTGATAGATCTAGTAAGCTGAAATATCAGAAAGAAATGGAGATGGGAAGGACATGTTATTAGAATAGACACCATGTGGACAAGGCGACTGAGTGGGATGCCAAAAGGCAGCAAAAGAGGAGATAGACGAAAGCAAAAGTGGGAACTGATGTTACCCAGTAATCACAGCAACAAACAAATACCGTATTATATGTTGAAGACAGCACTTTAAAAACTAATAATCTTAAAAATATCGAGCGGTTTCGCTCAATGAGTGAACTCAATAAGGTGACTTATGTGACTTAATTTCACCTTTATTTGTGAACGAATTTGACTACAATAGTTTTAGTCTAGTGCCGTCTTCAATATATTTGTTTCTCTATACAGTATTTAGACTATCAGAGCCCCCAAAATATTTGTGTAATCACTCTATTAGTGTTTATGATCGGTTATTATATATATTATATGTCTACTGAGTTTTTTCTTCTCCGGTATGCTAGAAAAATCACGCCTCGAAACGACTAAAGGTTAAAACAAAAACGGTAAAGCAGACACTTGCTTTTGTGCTGACATTTTGACACATGTCGAAGTATGGTGTAGGCCCTATCTTTTTTATTTCTCAATTTAGCTGGGGTACCGGCACTTGATCAATGGCGAGTTGTTACTCTTCCACACGGCTTCATATGCTTTAGAAACTAGGCCTACTAGTCGGCGTATGTATCATAATTGGAGTGAAGCTTTAATCTTGAGAATATCTTGGTATTGGACGGCAAGCGTCGTTAATGTTAATTAAATGAAGCAGTGTACATAAATATGATGTGCGTTTGGTCGGGGAAAAATGAAGTACTATAATCTTCATACCTCACTGGCATAATAATTACATAATTACAAGATAACCACAATCAATGTACAAAAAACAAAAGAGCATTTACGAAATAATAAATTTATTTTTCAGTTGTATCCTCATCTTTCAATATAACAATATTTTATTGTTGAGGCTCAATCGAATCGCTTCATAACTTCTACTCTTTGATTCAATGCTCTGTAAAAACCACTGACGAGCTGAATCGATGTTGCATAGACGCTGAAACCACGGTCGGTAGCCGACGCGATTCTACAGACTACGCAACGTGACGTGGCGTGCGCAAGTGATCGTTTTTAATGACGATCCGCTCAAACTACCACCAAAAATCATCGCGCCGATAAGCGCTCTGAACAGAGAGATAGTCGTCGGCAGACGGTCGTGAAACAGTGCATGTCTGGGTTTTACCATCATTTATTCTTTAGATATACTGCCAGTGGTAAAACGAAAACAAAAACCCTCGTTAAACTCCATTAACACACTGAATCGCTCATTTAAAAGCATCAAATAGTAAGTTATCAATTCTCAACGAAATAGAGATCAAAACAATACAGTTATTGCCGATTTACAGATTTTTAAATATGAAATCCTTAAATTGATTACAAGCCAATTTAGGAGCCAAACGGTAATAAGAAAGTTTTACTAACGTAGGCCAATCTGTAATATGCGAGGAAAACATGTTTTGATTGCATCTCTAATTAAAAGCTAACAACTTGCGTAAATTTATATATAAAAAAAATGCATTTATTATTCAGGGTTTTTCTTAGCTTAACACTGGCAGTATATCTTTAACAATAAAGAAACAACATGTATATTACTGGTTTAATCCATCTATCCATATCAAAATCTGCTTTAGTGTCTTTCAAAAATATATATCTTTCAGAGAATTACCCAAAAATCAAAGTATAGTTTAACTATAGCAGAACGACTACAACCAATTACCAATGGAAATTAGTCTCAACAGTTTGGGCTCACCCCGGGTAAATAAATCTAATAAATAAATAGAAGGTATTGATCTACCAATTCAACCAATGAAAACAATTTACATATGATATAGAGATGTAATTCACTATAATGTTAGTACAATGCATTTCACAACGTTTATGTGATATTGTCGTTTATTTAAATCTTTTGGAAAACCAGGTTGTCTGTACAGCATGTAAAGACGAAGTCGTTTTAAAGGAAAAAACATAAAGGTGTAAAAAATAAAGAGTGAAAGGGAAACAAAAAGAAGAACGATATATTCACGAATGCAAACATTCAAGTGATCACAATCACGTAATTGTGACCGCAACTTAGAAAAGAACCGATGAGGGCAGTATAACTAATTTTTATTTGCATCTTCACTCTAGAATTAATTCAGATGCAAAAACATGATTAGGGAAATTCTGAAAATAAATCTAATTCTTTTTAATAAGAGTAGGAACAAAAATACAATTTCATTAGACTCAGTATATTATTTTTTACGAAATGTACGATATATTCCTATATAATTATAATCGAAAAATCGTTGAATTTGACTACAAACATCTTTGTACTGTATAGTCTATAGGATATACATAAGAACTTTCTATTTTGTCTAGATGATACAACAAACTATAGAGTATATGTATCTATTTGTTTTCTGTTTATAGGAGGATCTTATATAGTATTATACTGACTACCGAAACAAACTTAACAAGGACAGCTCTGCTGTTAAAATATTCTCTCAACTCACAAAAAAANNNNAAGCTTTATAAAATGCCTAACATTATATTAAACATTCTATCAACGGGGCCGCATGCCATACACAATGAAAGATATGTTTGGAATAACCCCAAAACTTACGTCAATAAAAAGTTTCAAGGGTTTTTAAAAGCTACCTGCTTCAATTAAGATAAACATTATTAATTCATTGTAATATGTATAATATATATCAGTACAAATTCATTCATCCATACAAAAAAAAAAACTCTGTGTTATCATACATTCTTCATCCAGGTTTTGTCATCCCATCGGATAATGTTCTACCCTATACCATTCTCTCACTCTTATCTCACTTTAAACTTAAAACTAAGTTTTCCAGGCTAGCTCAATGCATACCAGCACATCTTCACATTCAAGGTGATTCGATCCTAGACACAATCCTCAATACCTCTCTACTGGCCTTCCAACACACTACCGTTACACAGTATCATGTAAAATCATATTTATTCATAGGTAGTTAAAATATCATTTTTCTAAAGCCTTGACCAGACTATCAAATTTAATTTGACAAAATACATGTGACATGCTGATGGTCATGATGACATCACATGTACTGTATAGGCAAATAATGACCATATATGGGCAAATAATGACCATATATGGGCATACAACTGTCTTTTGTCAAAGATAATTTGATAGTGTGGATAGAGACAGCTTAACGCACAGGTCATATTTTTACTTATTTTGTAAGGTGTAACTTAATTAGTAATTTAATTGCAAAAGCCATTTATGAGACATCGTTTATCTCATATTGAATACTCTATAAAACTGACAGAATATCAATATATATTTCTATCATTTTAACACACTTTTCCCCATATTACAATTTTACAAATATAACATTTATCATCTTACTTATTTCAGTATCTTTTGTTTAATGGCAATTTCAAAATATATGTGAACTGGGATGGGAATCCAAATTATGAGGCAAGATGTTTTCAGATATCTGCTACTACTTAGGGGCATTTCCATTAATTTTAGTCAGGTCTGAGGTGGTAGCTGCATAACTGTGACCCGAGGTCAATGAGATTGTGGGATTGATAACAGTTACTGTTCTAGGTAACTGATTGTTGATGACGGGTTGTGGGCTTTGAGCAAGGACCGGGTTTGGTGAAAACACAACAGAGAATAGAGGGGCTTGTGTGGGGTTTCTTTGCATCTGTAATAGATTTTGATGGCCTGGAGCGAGTTGTTGCATTGGGGTAAGCGGTAAGGCTTGTTGAATGACGGTTTGTGTCAACCCACCAACTGGCACGCCCGATGTAACCGACGATACATTAGCTTGAGAGAAAGACATTGGTATCAGAATTGGCTTAACAACGGTGCGGTTATCAGACACAACTACCGGGTTACTGCCTCTCACTAATGGCGAGACACCGGGACTTGGAGTTTGACGGTGTTGAATCATGATTGGCCGTGAAGGTCCGGGGGAAACACTCTTGACAGCTGGTGACCTAGCTAATGGCGACATCGGTTTTTCTTGTGATCCACCTAGAGAAGATTTAGCAAGAGATGAAAACTTTCCAGATGGCGAATGTGGAAAGAATTGGAACTTGGACATTGTTGCAGCGGGCGACAGATTAGGTGATTTGCAACGTGGAGAGGCGGGCAAGGGGGAGAACGTGAATTTACCGGTGATTATTCCCGAACCAGATGCAGACTTTTGGTCTGCATACGGCTGATAAGTTGTAGTAAATGTAAATTTCGAGTACCCTGGGGACTGAGGTAATTTTGTATTTTTCGTCATTGCTTGCGGTTTCAATACAGGTGACATTGGCATTACGGACGTATCATCATCAGTCTCTATACTGCCCTGTTGGTTCTGTTGCATGATCTTCTGCCTTACTTCTCGTATCTTCAACTGTAAACACGTTTTATTTGGGAAATACGACGAATGTTGAGCTTGAAACTCTGCTGTATCTGAGGCTGGAAAGCAAAACCCAAAAAGTTTCGACATTTTATAATCATGAAACTTTTAAATAAAAACATAAATGGGTTTTTTTTTTAAATAATGCAGAAATATAATGTAAAAAACATCATTGTGAGGCACGCGCCAATATGTAATTATATTTAATTGTTGCACACTTTATTCGTCTAAAATATGAATAGCTCATCGCAAACAATATTCTTCCGTCAAATCAAAAACAAGCTGATGAATCACTTCATTCGATATAGATTGTGTGTTAGCTATTCACCACACTATGGCTCGTTATTGCATTACAGAAAATCTGAACTGAACATTTCACACACTTTTGTGTTGTATGCTGTAAATAGGTGCCAGAAACTTAACACTTGTATTGCTCAAATTTAGAAATCTGTGTTTATTTATGTCTGTTTGAACTGTCAACATTATTTTTCTTATCTTTGACCAAGGTAATTCAACAAAAGGACGCACATCTCGGGACATCAAAGGTTATAACTCTGGCATCGACATTCTAGGCGCACGTGCGTCCCTACACGCTGAACGTCACAAAAACCATAGCAACCAGACCATAAACCGTCAGCGTACATGACGATTTACCCACGCGCGTTAGTTGCCATGTTAGTCGCGCGTCGTGCGGTGATTACAAAGGCCTAATGATATTTTGCACTAACATTAGACTGAAATATATTCTTCATTTCAACATTAATTTTACCGTGTATAAGAGACAGGT